CTGTGTAACTGCCTCGAGGGTGCTTGGCCATTTTAACACAACGTGGTGCGATCATCCCCCTTGCGCGGAGCGAGGGTTCTCGACCCCGCACAACATGATCTACTCGGCCACCATTATGGTTACCGCCAAAATAAAAAACGGAGGAAAAAAAAAGAGCCTGGTTGCCGAGTTCACGAAGTGAATTGGCTTGTTTTACAACGTCGTTGCCAAGCGACGAAAACCCAATCCCGATGGCAAACACCGGGGGGGGTGTACTCATAGTCGTGCATGCCGTAGTCATTAGACATCATTGACCTCGCATCCCTACAAAGACGGGACGGAGCACGCCGGGTTCTCACCGGACCAGGCTCCGGGGGGGTGGCTTGTTTTACAACGTCATTGCCAAGCGACGAAAACCCAACCCCGATGGCAAACACCGGGGGGGGGGGACAATGCGTGGAGCATGGACGGACGAGTAACGCGTGTTAAAGGGACGAGTTTCGTATTTTCCTGACTACTCTCAAAGGTATTTTTCTGTTGCACGAGCGATTTCCTTGAGTAGGCCTTCGGTCAGTGTGTGTGGCTAAAGTACAATGGGGTTGTACATATTGCAACACACAGTAAATTGGGTACCTCTCGTCTGCGCTCCGAAGCGATCTTCTGCATGTCCTCCAGCTCCACCCGCAGCGCTTCGAGAGACCTCCCCACCTGTAGCGTGGGGCGCAACAACATATCAAGCGGTGCCACAACTAATGTCTCAGACAGCAGGGGCGAGCTAAATTAGAGGTGAAACCGCGTGTGCAAGAAGCGCTCAGCATGACGGGTGAACCACACACGGATCCCAGATGAATCATTGGAAAAACCGCTTACATGCTTACAAAATAGAGTTGATGGGGGAATTAATATGTGAACCTACACGTGTATCAGGGAGATCACACACCAGACGTGCATTAGAGGTGAGGATAAACATACGTGGATCAAGGGGATGTCGGGAGTCGATTTCAAACGTGCACTCAGCCTACAGCATTCCACCTCTTTAAGGCGCCGCTCCCACTGAAAAGAGAAGAAAGTCACCTTGGAGAGCTCCTCGCGCCGTTGCGCGAGAGTCTCGAGCCTCTCCTCCGCCTCCCCAGACCTAGCGCTGCCCCCTATGCCCCCTCTATCGGGGTCCAGCAGCTCTCGAACCTCCTGCTCGCACGACAAGGAAAGAAGCAACAGCAACATCAGCATCAATAAACAGAAACAGATGCCCATGCCGCCGCGCCATATCGAATCGAGACGATCGAACAACCATTTTCAATGAAGGTGCAGCGTGGCACCTATAGCGGGGTCTCAGCAGCGACAGCAGGGGAGCGCGAGCGCGCGCACGCGGGGGAGTTCATGGGAGGGCGTGTCGTTGGGGCCCGAAAAGACACACCCAAATAAAAATCCACAAGAAGGAAGCATCTCTTGGCTGTAACAAGAGCGAAAAAGCTCTGTGCATGTGTCTCTACCCGCAAGATTGCCTGCACTCGGGGCAAATTCCCGCTCCAGCACATAGCACCGAGAGACAGGCCCTTCTTACCTCTCTCCGCCTCTGCAGGTTCCCGTTGAGAATGGACAGGAGCCGGGTCCGTGCGGCGGCGGCCACCTCCAGAGCGTCGAACTCGGTCTTGAGCCGAGCGTTCAGGGCCGGCACGCGGACAGTGTTGAGCTCGTGAAGCGTGCGCTGGTCCGCCTCCGTGAGAGTAGCCTACAAAGGGGCGTTGTTTTGTCTCAATTTAGTTTGATTACAACAGGATGAAAAAACCCTGTTCTTTCGGCACCCACGGGGGCTCGATTGGATTTGTTGGCCGGAAGGATTGTTCCGGTAAGGCAGGGAGCCAGGCGCCCTGTTTGGTGGCGGGAGGCAAAGAAGCTTCCCCGCGAACCTTGAACCCCCCCCCCCTCGGTGTTTGCCATCGGGGTTGGGTTTTCGTCGCTTGGCAACGACGTTGTAAAACAAGCCGTCCCCCCCCCGGTGTTTGCCATCGGGGTTGGGTTTCGTCGCTTGGCAACGGCGTTGTAAAACAAGCCAATTCACTTCGTGAACTCGGCAACCAGGTTACCGTTTTTTTCTTTTACCTCTGTTTTTTTATTTTGGCGGTAACCATAATGGTGGTCGAGTAGATCATGTTGTGCGGGGTCGAGAACCCTCGCTCCGCGCAAGGGGGATGATCGCACCACGTTGTGTTAAAATGGTCAAGCACCCTCGAGGCAGTTACACAGTGCTTACAACTGTCTCTGGAAGTGAAAGCACCAGAAA